TCATTTTCCTACTTTAGTTTGAGGTTTGTGTTATACTTCATATGTTTATGAATTTTGTTATAGATGTGGAGTGTTATAGCATGTCCAACTCTAAGTTTTGGAGATTGCAACTATATCCATCCATTCTTATTTACTTGCCCCTAGGGTGCTGACAAGCCAAGCTTAATTATTGAAATATTTGAGTTTGATTTTTTTAAATAGCATCAAATTTAAATTTAACTTGAAATTTTATGCGATACTTCTTAGTTTGAGTTGATTCATTTAAAAAAATATAATATATAAATTTAATTTTAAAAATAAAACTAAGTTGAATTAACTCGAGCTCGAACAACTATATTAAATCGAATTCGATAAATTTAATAAAGAGTCTTTTGTTAATTTTTTTTAATTTATTTAAAATATTTATATGTTTATTATATACAATTTATCTATCTATCTATACATATAAAGTATAGACAAAAATTAACATATACAGATTTTTTATTTTTTAAATTATTTTATATTTAATATGATAGTATATAATAATTAATTATTTATTTTTTATGTAAAAATAACGAGTTTAGGTATTGTTCCCCCAATGATCGTAGTACCAAGTACTTATGGCAAGCTCTAATATGATCAGATTTATAAGTAAGCATCTCTTGTAAAATATGAGCAACGCCAAATCCCTCTAGAGCCCAAACCTCCATTTCTCCTACCCGCTGCCCCCTTACTTGGACCTGTCTTGTTGTGTAATAAGTGCATAATGTCTTGTTGTGTAATAAGTGCATAATGTCCACTGGAACGCCCATATATTTTATCATCAACTTGATGAATTAATTTCAAGGTATAAGGCTTTCCTATTATAACAGACTGTTCAAAAGGATTTTCCGTTCTTCCATCAAATATTCTGCTTTTTTCCGAATACCCGAGTTCAAATATCCATGAATTATTTTAAAATATATTATAATAAATTTGACGTGATAATATAGATAATAATCATCTATCTATTTAATATGATAAAATATTTAAATATTTATTACATAAAAATAGAATGTAAGTATGTTAATATTCCTATGTGACTAATTTTTAGGTGGTTACAAACTCTGAAATTATATATTATATAAATTTTTAATCACCTTTTTTTTTCCAAATTTAATTATTTTGCAAATCTTTTACAAAAAATAAGATATGGTATTTTTTAATATATTTTTTAAAAATTTCTGTACTTCTATATAATTTTTGTTCACAAAAAAATAAAATGTGAGTACGTTAATATTTCTATGCGATTAAGTTTTAATCTTTTATTAATAATAAATTTTTGTATTTTTATTAGAAATTTCTTTACTTTTATATAATTTCTGTTTACACGAATAATAAATAATACATATTATTATATATATATATATATTATCAAAAATATATTTTGATAAAATACTAAATTTTCCAAACATGATACTAAGTTGAGTTCTCTTACCTAAAGAATCCTCTTTTTAAGTTCAAATTTAAATTGATCATCTTCAACAAACAAAACTGGAACACACCAGTTCGGCCAGTTGCAAGAAGCAAAGGTTTTGTTTTGTGGACTAATCAAATGTATAAGAGCTTTGCTTCTTTAGCTTGAAAGAGGAGAAGAAGAAAACATGCATAAAAGTTGCTCGCTACAATGCAAAATCTCAACTTAAGAGGCCTTCTGTTGGGGTGCACAAAATCCATACACCCTCGTCTCAACGATTCTCTCTCGAGGACGTCAAGCAACAACGCCTTATTCAGTTTACTGCTGCTTCTTCTCCCAAATTCTTCTTCTTCTTCTTCTTCCTCTGTGTTGTCTAATAATGGCAGGTTTTCTGCCTCGAAACGGCGTGGTTTCTGTGGCTATGCTGCGGAACAGTTCTCAGACGATGAGTATGAGTGTGATTTTGAGAATCATACGGTAACCTTCGCTTCTGCTCGTTTAAGTTTTTATTTATTTCGTATTTTTTTTTTAAATTTCGAGGGATCGGGGTTCGACTGGAATTTATTTTCTCTGTTTGATTGATGAGAAGTTATGGTGGAAAGTTTTAATTTTGACTTGAATTTCTTTTCCCGTCATGTGATCGCAAATGATGCAACTTCATTTTGTTATTTTAGGAGTTCATCATTTTTGTTTGAGATGGAGGGTTGCTTTTTCCCATACAAAAATTACTTCTTTGGTTGTTACTGTGAATATAATCCCTTTGCTGGCTAGGAAGATCGAGGAAGGATACGTAAATGGAACTCTTAAATATCCGGTTATGTTTTATCAACTTCCCAAAAGATGTGTAACCTCATCTGGGCTGTGCAAATAGTTAAATTGTATAAATTTCTCTGGCTTTAATCTGCAAGATTGGGAAGTGGAAGAATATGAAGATCTACCGCACCTTTTGGCCACTGTCCGTCTCAACAATAATAAAGACAAGTTCATTTGTTGTGTGTTGGGCGATACCCACTTGGTACCTTTGGAATGATATCTCTTGTTTTAAAGACAAGCTCATTTGGAAACTGAAGAAAATGAAAAATTCTCTGTTAATCTTTTTATAGGCATATGGTTGGCTACGGAGAGACTGGAGTAATCGATTTCCCGGCTAAAATGATTTGGAAGGCTAAAACTCGCCATGAATTTCTTTTTTGCCTGGGAAGCGGTAAAGGATCAAATTTTGACATTTGATAATCTAATGAAAGAGGGAAGCTTATGGTAAACAGATGCTTCTTGTGCAAATGTGATACTGAGACTTGCAACCACATCCTGCTCTAGTGTCCGTTTACTTACAGTCTTTGGACGATATTGTATGGTCTTTTGGGCATCTATTGAGCTATGGTGGGTTAGTGAAAACTGAGTTAGTGGCTTGGGAGGGGCTTTGTAAGAAGAATAGATCTTTTTGACTAAGTCCTTTGTCCATCTTTTGGGTTATTGGAAAGAGAAAAACAATTTAGTTTTTGAAGGGAAGGAAGAGCAGATTGTCGATATTAGAGATAAGTGTTTTCATTATTTTTGTTCTTTGGTTCTGGAACATAAATTATATAAGATGGATGATTTTAGGGTCATTGAAGATATGCTTACTGACATGTAATTTTTTTATAAATAGGTGGCACCCCCTTGGTGCATTATACTTAATATACTTCTTACACTTTATTTTTTTTAAAATAAATTTCTGTGGCTTTGAATTTTGTGGTGCATAAACATACTTTGATGTTCGTTGGAACTGTTCACCTTAGGAAAGTTATTTACCGAGTGCCTTTCACAAAGTGCAGTTGAATAATTTTTCTGCGTAACAGCTAGCATAAGTTAGTTTGCTACAGCCCTAATATAAGCTACCTTTTATTTTTTCGGCTTTCTGAAATCTAGTGGAAATGGTGGTAACATGAAATGTATTCTTTTAGGCTTCATCTTCTGTGGCCAACATAGATGAGTGGAAGTGGAAACTCAGTATGCTGTTGCGCAATGAAACTGAACAGGAGATTGTATCTAGAGATAAACGAGATAGGAGAGATTATGAGCAGATCTCTAACCTTGCCAGGAGGATGGGACTTTACAGGTAGAGTGTCACTACCCTCACAGAAGGCTTTTTCTGTCTTCATGATTGTTTATAGATCAGCATATCTTGTCTCATTATCCTTATTTCCATTAAGGTGATGTGGCTTATTTCACTATCTTTTCTTCTTTTTGTTTCTCCTTTTTCCTATTGGCTTTGAATCAACAGTGAAATCTATGGAAGAGTAGTTGTTGCAAGCAAGGTTCCTCTTCCTAATTATAGACCAGATTTGGATGATAAGAGGCCACAGAGGGAGGTAAGCATTTTTACATTTTGAACATTCAAACCAAAATACGTTCACTACTTTTAGAAGCTTGATTCTTGGAACTTTTTTGTGCTTCATTTGTACAGGTTGTTATCCCATTGAGCCTG